TTCAGTCGCTTATGATAATTTCCTAAGCTTTTCCTACCTTCCCATCTATTTACATGCACCCTAATCTCTTATAAAGTTTGCTAGAGATTAACCAGTAATCAATTGATGAGTGCGATTTGTTTCTCTCACACGTTATTCTTTCTTCTCATTTTACTTGGGAGATAACAAGCACTAGATTAAGAGCACCGCATAATTCTTGTAGCATCCTCCCTGTAGAATCGGTATATACGTCGAAGTCTTCTAAGTGCGCATTCATGCTTCCTAAGATAATCATTTCCCGATTTGTGCCGATCTCACCAACTTCTTTGTAAATACACATCAAGTGCTGTGCATTTTCCTTTCTTGAATCAGTTCCTGTTTTCAGATATACAAATCTTATATGACGTCGAGGCACAGTATGAAGTCTGGGCACAAGCTTGCTTGACAAACAACCAACCCGCTGAGAGATGCTGAAAAGCCGGGAGTAGCCTCTTTAAAATCGGGTTTAGCATGAATCGATGTTTCCCATTAGTGTAATATTTTGGCTGTGCTCGTAATTAGTCTCTGCAAATTGATATCAGTAATTTATGTTCCCCCGCAGTTAACCTTTACATACTCTGTCACCGATCCGCTAAATACTACCTTCTATAATTCTTCAGCGTCTAGTAATCCTCTGGAGTGCACGCGCAGTTAAAAATCACGGAGGATGGCAACGAGTAAGAGCTCGATACCGGGCGTTGGGAAGAAGCGCCTTGCCGTTCTTACCTTGGCAGTGATAAGACCTGACGTTCACAGCTCAATATCCTGATCGTGACGTCATTGGCAGGAAACACGAGGAGGCATCGCCGAAACATCCCGTTGTGAGTGCATGAAGTGACAAACAGCATTGATCGCACACGTGTCGAATGCATCCTCTTTTTACCTACCGTATCTGACGCTTTAACGCCACCAATAGACCCTATTCAAAAGTTCATCAAGCAACACTGGCGGTCGTCATATTTTGTGCATTGCTCCCTGCACGAAGCGTGCGATTGGATACGAGTTCACGCCTACTGGTGACGCAACATTTGTGTCAAATAGAGTTGCACCGAGAACGCGCCGAACCCTGTCGCAGTAGTCGTTTCCAATGCATGCTCGAACACAGCTCTAGAAACGCTGGGCGTGGTTTGTTATGCTCGCGTTTGTAACTTTCTTTTTAATATGCAAAAAGGGAGAAAAACAAAGAGGTAAGCCAAGGAGTATCCTTGACTGGCTACTTTGTTGGGGTGTGGGGAAAGGGAGTAAAGAATGTGAGAGGAAGGGAAAATAAGAGAAAACATTTACATACACTTTGGCACAATTGTGATAACACAGATAGCGTACCAGAGGCGCTAGCGGTAACTGTGTTCATTTGTTTCTGTGTAAGAGTCCTAGACAATCACAGACACCAACGCAGACACAAACACAATCAAGGTCACGAATAGTTTCACGAATAACGAAAATCCCTGGAGAAGGGGAACAAGAGGGACAATGGACAAACCCAAATCTCAAAACACAGCTAGGCGACTGGTGCGTGGGCGAAAAACTCTCGAACCCCTGGTTAGCTCAGTTGGTAGAACAAAATTTAAATCTAACACAATACTAGTATTAGCTCTATGAAAGGTTGCACCGCAATATTTTAGAAAAACAGAAATTAAATTTTTCAATAGTACTCAGCAGGTCAGAGCCACGTGTATCTGTGTACCTGCCACCCCTAAGTTCATGGTGAGCGATAAAATCGCCACATAATATATGAGCCGAGGGTGTAGTTTCTTATAGAGTCTCAAAACGTCCAATATCAACTTTCACTTGTGGCTGAGCCTATGCTGATATTAACGTGAATGTTTTTGATTTGTTTCATACCGTCACGCATGCATAATCATTTATATTATTGGGGGGGGGGGGGGGGAGTCTCTCAATATTCATTGGAAACGATACCATTTCGCAGAGCTATTAAAGATAGACTAACTCCGTTTGTCCGCGCTGATGTGCTGCATTAATATCCCGAAAGTCGCAGTTTGGTAACATCTATTCCGGCCTCCAATATTGCTAGGAAAAGAAAATAGTAAGTCGGTATAAGTTGTTTGAAGTCTGACATTTTTGAGCGAGAACCATTTGCGTTCCATTGAAAGACATTGTTTGAATTAAAATGTCACGAAATGGTTAATTTATTTGAACCAATCCAGAAGACGAGGCTAAATGTAATTAATAAGGCTGAGTATTTTAGGAGCCCAAGTGTAGTTGCCTTGTCTTAGAAAGCTCCGCACAAAATCGAAAGATATCATTACGGCTGATTCGCAAAGGGATTGGTTGTTTTGTATGGGAGTTCCATGGCGGGGCACATTTTTCAGGGGAGATACACGAGCGCGACCATCAATGTCAGTGTGCTTTCTGGTTGCTGATTTCGGCTCCGTTTGTGCAGTGTGAACATACAGCTATCGATATGAATTCCCCCCGCGCGATATCTTTGCCCAAGCTCTTTGGAGATTCGGCTGCTAAGATATCCTTACAGGATTTTTTGATGTTTTCACGGTGTTTCATGGTTGAGGTGTTTTCACGACCTTTTCATTCGCGCGCATATTTGCAGGGCCTTTGTAGAGAGATAATCTTTCCTCTTTGTGACAATGGTTTCTTTTGGAGCAACTGTGACTGAAGCGAAACCTCTCTTACGCAACTCAGCTTTCTTTTTTTGTTCAATTCATATGGGACAAGTAGGGTCCAGCGCGTCATGCTGTTTTCCGCAATTGATGCATTTTGTGTTTGTGGCATCCCATTTTGTATTGCTATGCCCTCCTCCGCATCGGGAACAAGTCTCGCCTTTTCCACATGTCACGCCCTTGTGGCCATAACGGCCGCAGTTTTTGCATTGCAAAGGACGTTCTTCGAATTGCGAGACCTGGTATCGCACTCGAAAGAAGAATACATATCGGGGCAGGAAAACCGAATCGAATGTTATTTTGACAACTCTTGTGTCCCTCAGTCTCCTTGCATGAACGGTTGGTAGATCAAAAGATAAACGTGTTTGAATGTCTGAGTCAGTGACGTTCTTCTCTACGCCTCGCAACACACCAACCGCTGCAGGTCGAGGACCTGGCTCATATGCCTTGACGCCCACCCCGCAACGCGGTGTGGACGTCGTTAGCAGTGTCTTAGTGCCAAGGGAGTTTCGCGTATCCACAGCAATATAGGTTGGAACGCTTGTTAGGACGCACCATTAGAATGCATTCTGGACAGTGCAGTTCGAGGAGGTCGGACACCTTCATGTTTAGCTTCATCAGGGATTCCTGTGGGTTGATTAGGGTGCATATTACAGTGAGACCCGGAAAGTGATCTGGTGCATGGACGTCCGTTTTCAAGACGACACTGTCACTGGAGCGGCGCCGCTTCTTGTACGTTACTGTAGTTTATTCTGTGTTCTCTTCGCCGGTCTCGAACTCCATGACCAGTTTTGAAAAAGCAGGTTGTCTTTGTACTGGGTCAGGCTGTCTGAGGGTAATGAGTGTTGGCGGTTCAAGTGGAGTTGGAGTTACCAGAAGCTCCGTGTTCGGTTGGGACGAGTAAAGGTGGTCATCACATGAATTCGGAAGAAAGTTTTTGGCTTCATTCATTGTGCCTGTCCTCCCGGCGCTCTTCCTTGATGGCGGAGCAAGTTTGGAGGCTTAATGAACCCTTGCTGTTTGAGATGAAATGTAATACAAAATATCTCAGGAGGCACAAAATATGACTTTTTCTGGAGAACTGTCTTCTTTTCGCTTATAACTTCGTGATTCGTTCTTCTCCGTTCTTAACGACTGATGTCACAACGTTATTGGTTGACGAGCGCTATAATGCTATGCTCGGGACCCGACACGCCCCGCGGTTCTTAAGTTGACAGTGGGTATAGCTAACCGAAGCATAAAACTGATGCAGCGGAAAAAAAAAAGATACGAGAGTTCTCAAATACCTCCAGGAATAACGTCGAATCGACTACTTCCAAAAATCCTAGCACGCCGCGCTGCACGCGTTGCACTATGGAACCTATTTGGCATTGTCGAGGAGTGGGATACTTTCGGTTTCGATTGCTTTATTGACGAAGTAGCGCACACTGCACGAAAGTAAAGTCAGCGCTCGCATGCATTACACCCATTCATTTGCGTGAGAGCCCCCGTTGAAACACGGACCTCGAGCAGCCGTAAGGACCAACCTAGGCTTAGCGAGGGGTAGGAGTACGGCCCGTCCGCGTCCGACACCTTTCTGTCGACCTGGTTTCCACTGCAGAGCAGCATGACGCTCCCTGCTCGTGGGTCATTTAAGGCGCCTAAAACATGGAGGAGACGATGGAACAGGATGATCGGCCCAGTGTGCTTAATCTTTCATGTGCTATTATAGTATTGTGTTTGCCAACGCACAAACTCTGGCATGTCGCGAAGTTAGGTTGACAAATCTAAACCGAAACTTAGTGGCCAGGGGTTCCCAAGGTGGTTTGTGTGGCGCCGCTAGGGTCGTTTCGATTTGACAGGAGGTCTGTTACTTCGCCACTAATCCGTGTTTTTTTTTTTTTTGAAAACGTTGAAGAAAGCCATCAGGGGCATCGTTGTATTGAATAAGTATACCTGGCAGAGGTAGTGTCACTCGATGCCAACGGCACGGTAATAGAGACACACCTTACAGAAGACAGGAATGGCACCGCCACATAAAATAAACAAACAAAAGTACATTTGAGACAGCCAGATGGTTATTGTTCGCATTGGTTTCTTCTTCTTGGAGTGCTGAAGGGCAAACGCAAGGATCAGTCTGGCTCCTTTACATGAAGAATTTTTGTGTTAACCTATCCTTTTAAGCAATCATTTGAAAGAATTCTAACCTTTGTGATACAAAAAGCAAAATTAATCAACGAATGAATCTTGGCGTATGTATCCCTCACCACAAGGCCCTCAGGCGCTGTGCGTAAGTGAATTAAAAGAGAAATAAAAAAAAAATAAACAGATCTATCCAATAGAAAAAAAAAACTCCGTTCAAATGACTTTTCAGCTCGTTTATCATTATTTTATTTTCGAAATTCCAGGTCTATCCAACAATTTGCGGCCAGCAACCAATTTTAGTATACGAAAGCTTAGCTAACGTCGTTCCGTCCGCACACTCAAAACCGGACAAGAGCTGGCGTGAGAGCAGTTGGTTCTTGATTCTCACCAGCCACTTGAAGGAACAGCCCGTGCATGAGAAGGGATTTCCTGCATAGAAAGAGATGCACGGTGTCAGAAGATAATATGTTAATTTCTTAGACGTCTCACTTCAGAGGCTTGTTAAAGAAACGCAGGTCGTGGTGGCACTTTGACGACGTCATCAGGCAGAAATCAAGGATCCACGCCAGACCGAGACACGTTCCATGTGGCATCGTTGCTAAACTCACCCGAGACACGCAGCGAGGAAACCTCCCCAGTAGCTTGTCTGCGTCGCTCCAGTCGCTCTAGGATCGGGAGGAAAACATCTCTAGGGAATTCCGTCAAGTTGTTTTGCCCCAGACAGAGGATTTGAGCGCGGGTGTCCGAGAATGCCAGGGGGCTGAGGCTGGCCAGGTTGCCTTCGCTCAGAAAGACCTGCAGAGGAGGAGCAAAACGAGGTTAGAACACTCGTTGGAGAACATTTTCTTCGACCTTGGTTCGAGCGAATGTGCGGTGCGCTTTATTCGGATGCAACGGATTTCAATAAATCTCTACAGCGTTTCACTTTAACAGCCCACGATAGGATCTGCAGGAGACAATCAAAAGCAGAGCGAGAAGCGCATCGTCCCTGCGTTCAACACCTTCGTGCGTATCTGCCCTCACGGAGGACATTCACGGACAGTGAATGTGCCAGAATCCTGCGTGGCGCGTTCACCTGTGCGCGATTGCTTTTTGCCGGTGACAAATAGCGTACCCACAAAGACGCCGAACACCGTGGTGATCCCCCTTTGGCTCCGCTTGATTGACTCCATGTGGACCGTCGGTTGCGTTTGGACTTAACAGTAAAACAAAGTCTAGTGTGTACCCGCACACTGTCTGAAATTTGGAACGTCCATATTCTCCCCGAGAAGCAATTGGATGAGCCAGTCGCTGCAACCTACGAACGAGTGACTGAGAGGCTGAAAATGCGTTTAGGCACTAAAGAAAAACTTTTACGCTTTAACACTGAGCGTGACGTTTCACGAGCACCCCATATTCAGGGTCACAACGCCGACTCCTTCTGTTTTATTAGAACGAAATCTAATTTCAGCCCCTTCCATCGCCATGCTAGCCCTGTAGATTAAACCAATTGGCTTTCCCTAAAGCTGTTAAAAAAAGCACTGTTTTTTTTGTTTTTTTTAGCTAGCACATTTACGATGTAAAAATTTGGATTATGTTCCCTAACTCAATGCCCGATGTTTTTATCTTGACGTTTTCGTTCGGCTCTACCGCTCCATATGCAGCGAGAGACTAAAGTAGAGGAGGAAACGAGAGCGCTCGGCGACATCAGAACGCCGAGCTCTCGTTCGAATGATGAGTGGGTAGAACCATGTCCTTCTCTATCCTCACAAAGCCTGGCAGTTCGACGTCGGAGCCATGGAGTGCCCGGTCGCAGATTTGGAGCGCGGGTATCTGGTAGTACAAAGCATCAAAGAGCCATTTCTCGGGAAACCTAAGGTTCCTATTTTGAAGGGAACCTAGACGTCAGAGCACAGCTTTTGCAGCGGCGAGGACCCGAAACAAACTTGCTCGCTCGGGAGAAACGCGTTTCGGCGTCTCGCCGCAGCGGGGCGCCAGTCTCGTGGCTCGCCTCTCGATCATCCGTTGTCTGCCGCTCCACCTTTTCCATTTCGGCCGCCGCTTCTCGTGGTGATCTGCCAGGCTTTGTGAGTATATAAGAGTTTTGGTAAAACTAATGCTAGCTACCCTTGTTTCCACAGCACCCGTCAAACATGTTTAAAACTCGGAGCTCCGGCATCCGGCGTTTGTTTTTCGCGTTCGAACGCGTACGAGGAGTGCAGTGGAGACAAAGCTTTAGGACTACCCACTAATCATTCGAACCAGAGGTCGGCGTTCTGACATCTCCGAGCGCTGGCGTCTCTTTCTATCCCTCAGCTTCTGGGAGCCTTGTCATCGAGCGCAAAATGGTGCGATAATATTCCGTCGAATTTCGCGCCCAAGAAACACGCGTGCTACTTGGTTTCCTACAATCACCGACAGCCTTAATAAACGCTGCCAGGTGGCGAGTCTCGATAATGTTCTATCATGTCTCTTTGTAGCCAATGAGTTTCCGGCATTAGCCGATAAGCGTGCCGAACAACCAATCACGGAGCAAGAACCATAAACATAATAAGCCACTAGAGAGTTTTAGTAGATCGTTCCCATGACTCCGATAACGATACCCGATACTCCGCCACCGCCTCCCTTGCGCTTGCATAGTATCGTTATCGGGGCTATCGGAGGTATCGGAACGATCTACTAAAACTCTCTATTGACTCTTCTGTTGAACCTGGTCATGCTTCAGCCACCTCGTCAAAGGCTGGAAGCATCCATTAGGCAGTTCTACCGTATAGTATAGATTGTTCCGATACCCTCAGTAACAATACCCGGCAGCGAAACGACGCATGCGCAAAGGTGTCGATGGAGTATCGGGCATCGTTATCGGGGCTATTAAAACGATCCGCAGAAACTCGCTAATGATAGACAATGGGCGCGGTCAGGCACAGCGCGGGCAGGTGGAAACTGTTCTTAATAAGGGCGGTCATCACCGGTGCAGATGCGATAGAGAGTTTGAGTGGATCGTTCGGGTACGTCCGATAACGATATCCGATAATGCTACAATGCACGACGTGCAAAGGCGTCGGCAAAGCAACAGGTATTGTTATCGGAGTTATCGGGACGATCTATTACAGCTCTTGGCGGCTATAGAGCCGAAGCCAGCTCAAGAAACGCATGAGATGGCTGATTACGTCATGTTCTTTTATTACTGGTTCGTTCTTCGGCGTTCTTTTTGTCTAAGGTCGAAATTTTATTGGCTACGGAGTGATAATAAGATGTTAAAGACTCTTGACGCCCTCAGGTTCTTTACTGACCATACTGTCGAAGCCTGAAAGTGACATTTTTAAGGGAATTCTTGAACCGCAAGCTTCTTTCTCACATAGGGATAATTACTCACCGCACCGTGCACCATAGCTTCCGATTAAATGGTAGTTAGCGTTTATTTTTTCACAGCTGGAACATGCAAGCCCTCAATTCTTATTTGAGACTTCCTACCCTATATCTTTTTTCTTTATCTTTTTTTCTTCTGTAGCCACTCAGAATTTTGGTTCGTGCCTTGAATAGACCCTTTCCGAAATTCAGTCTGGCCACTTCGATCACTATCATCATCTGTGGAACGGCATCTGTGCCATACCAATGGCGGCCTTCTAGTGACTGATAAAGGAGGAGGTTGAAAATGCTCCTAAGCGGATGTTGCGAGGCCTGTACATTCGGGGGGTCAGTACGACGCGACGTGGGAATGGAACACAAGCGCTATGTAATCGTTTATTTCTAATAACTCAAATTCAGTTAATTTATGGGCGGCACACAATTGGCTCCAAAGCACTTTGGTGTACAAAAATTTCTCGAGGCATCTGAGTGGGTTGGAGCTTTGTTCTGAATGCAGGTTTTTGGTCACCATCGAACTGGAAGTGGTCGAGAAAGAACTCAAACTGAACAATTCCTCGCTTGCCGTTGACTTGCGAAAGTGACGATGCCGATACAAGTTCATTTCCGCCATTGATATGGCAAAACCTAAACTGCTTTAAGAACCAGCAAATGGCGCCGAATTTCGGAATAGGTCTATTGTTTTTAGATTCTTTGTTTTGTTCCGACTATACGGTCTTCATTTAATTTTTAGCTAAATCGAAGTAAAGGCTTACCGAGGAAATCCTGCTGTCGCATTACGAATGTCGCATAAAGATATGCACTACGCGCATCTCGCCCGAGAATCGCTCTACTGAAGCGCCACCATTATATGGACAGAAACTGAAGGAGAGGAGAAGACGAGAGCGCAGAAACGTCAGAACCCCGAGCTCTGGTTGGAACGATTAATGGGTAAGGCGATATCCTCTATACTCGCAAAGCCTGGCAGTTCGACGACGGAGCCAAAGAGTGCCCGCTCATAGATTTGGATCGCGAGGATCTGGTAGCAGAAAGCATCAAAAAGCCACTTCTCGGGGAACCTGGACGTCAGCGCACAGCTTTTGCAGCCGCGAGGACCCGAAACACACTTGTTCGCTCGGGAGAAGTGTGTTTCAGCGACTCGCCGCAGCGGGGCGCCATTCACGGGGCTCTCCTCTAATCCCTTGTCTGCCGCACCATCTTTTACATTTCCGTGGCCGCTTCTAGTGGCGATCTGCTAGGCTTTGTCAGTACATAGGAGGCTAAGGTAAGACGCAAAGCTAGCTGCCTTTTCCTTTATTAATGCAGACTAGCTTTAGGTCTACCCTCTAATCATTCCAGACAGAGCTCGGCGTTTCGACGTCCCCTCGCGCTCTCACATTCTCCTTTCCCTCAATTTTTAACCGTACGGTCCCTGACAGAATTAGCAAGGCAGAGAGGTTCTTGAGCCACCCCGCTTCCAGCGCGAAGTTGGTACCTTCGAAAAGGCTTGAGCGCCTCCTGATACTAGGGCATGCACGCGCGGTTAGAGCGCACCGGAAGGCGACAAGCGCTTGCGGGAGGTCGGGTATTTTAAAAGGCGTTTTGCCGTTTTTTTCCGGTGTGTGATTGCAGCTATCATCAACCGCTAAGTCGGCTTCACCAAGACAGCGAAGAAGCGCTCACATCGGGCATCAGCTGAAATTGTAAAAGGGCGCTCTGGAAAGGCTACAAACCTTGAGTTCGGGGACGCGCGATCCAAGGGTTAAAACGTAGTTTCCGAGTCTGGTAATTCGGGTTCCAGTCAGGTGCAGCATTTCCAGCTCCGGTAAGGCGAAGAACGCGTAAGCGCCGACTGCCTGGATCGGATTGTCTGACAGCACGAGTATCTTTAGCTTTGGGTGCTGGAAAGCGTGGTCCGGAATTCTCTCCAGCCGATTCTTGCCCAAGTTGAGCGTGGTCAGCTTCGGGAAGATCCCAATCCTAAAGATATTACGCAAAAAAAAAGAAGATAAAAAGAACCCGGTTATTATTAAAAACGTACAGTGACTGTACCATATGAATTTCGTCGTCGTCATCATTATAATGATAATCGTCACCATCGTTATAGAATCCTCCTTTTTATACGGTTCCTAAAACGCGTCTTTAAATAGTGCGTAACAATGTAATGCTGTGATTTGCCACGACCCTGGTTGTAGGACAGCAGCGCAGGTTGTTACGCCAAGCGCGTGCCGGAGTGTAGCCTCGTAGCTCAAACTCACCTTTATTCAGAAAACCCATGGCTAGTAGTGTTGTCTGGGTGGGCGTAACAAAAGGCATAAGCACGCCTGACGAGGCGACAGCCCTCTCCCCCGTCCCCATCCCCTAGCACATCTTTCAGGAAGCCCAGACAAAAATATTGTTCAATAGAGTACATAAAAACACACGACTGTAACTGGAGCTCAGTCAATAAAAATAAATGCAGTCAAAGGTTGAGACGTAGCGGTAATAGCAACGCCTCAGTCAAGTTTATCTTTTTCACCGGCACTTTTACTGACCACCACCCTCCGGGGTCATGTCAACAACTCCTTTAAGTACAGTGTCTAGGTGGCGCAATCTGCCGCCCAATTAAAATGCTTCAGCCGTATGCATCTATCTACCCATCTATTCAGTCGTTGAACAGCGGTTCTTGTTGTGCATTTTGTTACCAATTTGGAGACATTTCGGTGCCTAGACATTGTAGGGCCCGAAATACATTAGTCGGAGAAAAGATCCAGGCACTGTACTTACTAAACGATTATGACGACACTGACCACACGGCGTGTTTTTTTTTGTTTTTTTTTTATTATATAGCGTAACGTGAAACTCATTTGAAGCTCACCGAATTCAGCATGGCTTTAACTGTACCCGCTACAAATAATCGCATTACTTGTATGAAGAATCATGTCATTGCTTTTTTTAGCCTGTACTAATAACCAACCTAGAGATGTTAGTGCCCTCAAATTAAATTACCGAAGTGTACCCGCTGATTAAAAAAAAAAATTGCTACATTGATGTTTTAGTGTTACTTAGGTTTATCAGACAGTGTCTTTTGTTGAAAATAAAAAAAGAGGGATAAAAACAGAAATTTTACAGGTAAGCAAAAAATAACTTTTGTATATTTAGCAACTGCAACTGCTCTCAAATGATTTGCCTAAAACGCACGTAAAGATAAGACGACAGGTTTCAAGGTTGCGAGAGCTAGAAATGTGATCAGGAAAAGTAGTATAATTCTTGAAGTAACCGTTATTACATGGTAAAATACTGCTAGAGCTAGATCATTTGTAAAAATAAGCTTTCTTAATTTTTGTTTATTGGTAACGCGGACGAGCTCAGTCGGAAACGGTCCTCTGGCATTATAAATGTTTCCTGCTACCACATTTACTTGTATGAAACAGCAAATTATGGGAGCGCATTAAAATAACTTTTGAGAAAGAAGTCAATAAAGTTGATTATCAGCTTAGAGGTTTCCCAAACCAACGCAACATGTGAGACGGCATGCTCACAAAATTCTCTAACTTAACATTTTGTTTAAAAGTTTGACAATTTGTTAAGCTTTCTTATACTGTTAGAATAACTCTCGAAAGAAACTTGATGCCGCTCAATAATATTTGAACTGGCTGAGACATCAAAACTACGAGCGACGTAATCATAACCATTTGTCTTAATTATGTGTAGTATCGCTGACAGTATGAGTTATAACAGTCCTTTACACCCTTTTTTGGTGTATCGGCCGGTTTCTAAGAAATATTTTTTTTTCTTCCTTCCAGAATGTCAGATGGAACGCAAAGCCTAGCTCGCAATCTTCGAACCCCATGACACAGCGAGAAACATTGAAAAGTTATGGAGATTACAGATTCAGAAAAAGACCATAGTTTCCGCGGGAGTACTGCAGTGCAGATATACCTTATTCCGCGGGGGTATACTCTCTCCCCTTAGAAGTAACACTGCAGATATAAGCTTACCCACTATATGCGAACGTAGTAAGTGCGTTTCCAAACAGACTCAGTTTTCTGATGAAGGTCCGCGACTTGTCGAGGGATGCGAGGTTGTAGGATGTCAAGTTGGCGTTCATTTCGATGTATATATTTCTGAAAACAAAGTCTCCAAGAACGCCGGGCGGAAATGACTCCACAGTGCTCCTTTGAATCCAGAGATCCCTGTGCTCTTTGGGTCCATCGGTTTGGAAGGCCTTTCTCAGCTCTGCAGTCGAGTTAGCCTTCCCACAGCTGATGCCTTCAATATCACACGTGCAGGGAAGAAAATCTGCAGCTTCCGGACACGAGCGCGCCTGTGCGACGATCAAAATTCCGGAACAGCAAAAAACGGCGGCCACGAGTAGACAGCCTGCAGGAAAACATTTTCCTCGGCATCATTACTTGTAGTTTATATTTTCTTGAGTGGTCAAAGATTGGAACCGAGCATGGAGATGAAAGAAAATAGTCACTTGCGGCTAAGGAAAAAAACTATACTCCGTTTCACCTTACGTTGTACCGCAGACAAGGCTAGAAGCGCGACCTCATAGCGTTGGGAGCTACTCTTGACGCACGAGAGCTTGTGCCGCCGAGATGTGCCTAGAGCAAGGAGCTCGCGCTTGTAGCCTTTCCTGCGGTACATCATAAGGTAAAACAAAGTATAGAACTGCGCGTCGATTAAAAAAGTTAACCCGATAAATCGCCAACCTTTGATCAATTATTTATTCGATTAATCGGACTCGCTGATTTCCACGCATACAATTGTATTGTAAAAGTGGAAAATTACTTTTGTTGTTGAATCTGTGATAAAGGGCGCGATATTCCAATTTGATTATGAATCAACCTCGATCTTTACTTGAGGACACTTCAAAGACACTCACACTTCAGCTGCATGAGGCAAAGGGGTTCATTGACATACTATGCCAGCAGAGATCTCCTTTGATTGTTTAAAATAGTGTCGGTCGCGCTAAACGGAAACTTGTGCTACGTTGAAGTGGCACTGATACGTATCACCTTTCTGCGCTTCTCTGGAGTTACGAATCTTCCCTCTACTGCTTATTTAAAATACTAAAGTTTGCCCTTATACAATGCTCTCGTCCCCATTTGGCGTGGGGAAGGCGTTTCATTTCTACTTCATTTTTGTTCGTCAACGTTTCTTTTCCCATTGATCGGTTAAAAATATCAGTCGCGAATAAAGCATCAATTGATTAATTGGTGGGTTATTCTATCAACTGCCTAGTTGCCCATCCTTAAAATAGACAAGGCGTGATGAGTTTGGAAAGTCTAATCATCGTTTCGCATCTAGTAAAATTGTAAAAAAAAAAAAAAAAGAAACTGACAAGAACGCAAATTAAAAAAAAAAGTAACATGTCACCAAGCAAGAGGCGCGAACACATATAAGGAACACGGCCTTTCTTTTGTAAGCTCCTATTACTTCGTTTCACCTCAAGGTAGGACGCAGCTGACTACACGAGCCGATGCGTCTAATCTATTAAGGTAAAACGAAGCGCAGTGAGTATATAGATTTCGTTTAAAACAAAAATGTAAAAAATAATGTTTTGAATTTCTGAAATTTCGGTCTTCCATATTTCATTACGACGTTTATAACCGCACGCAAATTGACACGGCGGATACACACAAAGTGAGAGCACCGAATATACCGTAAATATTCGAAAGACAAAGTTTCCATGCAGTGCAAAATAAATAAGAAATTCAAGACCGCTGTCTTTTTCACGGCGAAAATATTAAGAGATGTTCGACTCCCAGAATCGAGCAGTCAGATGATTTCTCGTTTGATATTCACTTACCCATAACTCAATGTGGTGCGATGCTTTGGCCTGCACAAAAGCCGAGATATCCAGATGAAAGTTGCGTCAGTTAGCAGGCGGCTGCGAAAGCAATTACCGTTGCTCCGGTTTCGCCACTGACACTTATTAGCTGTCGCTTGCCAGATATCGCTGTGCTAGAAACCCAGATACCAGATAAGACGTCGTGGAAACGTCGAGAAAAGGTCCCGGACTTCCGTGATGTTCCGCATGACTTCGATCACGTTTTCTCGATGTTGAGGTGGCGTCCCTCTATAACGTTCCATTAAAGTCTTATCAGTGACGTTGTGACGACGTTGTGTTTCAACTCAAACGTCGTCAACGTTCCCACGACGTCGACGCACGACGTTTTGGCAACGCCCAACGCTCACGTTTCGTCGACGTTGATGTGAAGTTCAATAAAGACGTTCCATTATCGTCCTGTCCGTAACGTGCTCACGACGTCATGTCTCAACTTCAACCTTGTCATCGTCGCCACGACGTCAAGACAAGACGTTTTAGCAACGTCGAACACTCACGTTTCTTCGAAGTTGAAATAAAGTTCGTAGTGACGTTACATCATTGCCCCGTCAGTGACGTTTCAGCGACGTTACGCCTAAATGCCGTAAATGTCATACAGGACGTACTGGCAACGTCTACCACTCACGTTTAGTTGGACGTTGAGGCCATAATTAAATTACGTTCCATTGTTGTCCTGTCATTGACGCCCTGGCAATGTCCTACCACGATCTTTGCTTTGTGTTTTTTTAGCTTTTCCAACTCCATCTCCAGCCGCAGAATCAGGTATAATACGCGTTCACTGTTAGAAACTTAATTAGAGCTGTGGTCAAGTTGAGTGTGCACAAGAGCCGCGAGCAAAACTTAATTTTTGAGAGCTTGAGGATTTATACGTTAATTTATCTATTTCAATATACTATTAATGGCACACGTGATTACGTTTGGGAGGGCATATACAAAAGTCAATATACACTGAAGGAAAAAAAATAATATGAGAGCATGTTTGGAAAATCATTCCTTTTACATTATTTGGAACGTTCCCTCAACTTTCTGTGCACCTTTTCTCGAGGACATTTCAAGGTTTCATCGACGTCGAAGGAAGGTAACGTCCGGACCTTCGACGTTTTACGACGCCACGTTACAGACGTCTTCGACGTTTTTTTGACGTTTTCTTCACGTTTATGTGCTGCCTGAGTTTTCGTTTAGAGGGGCGGAAATCAGCGCGGTTCACTGACACACGTGAGCCTTTTCTTTTTGTTTTCGCGTCACGTAGTAAGATCACTGAGTTGAACCAGTTGAACATTCGACAGTAATTTGTCTTTGCAAGTGTGTTTCAAAGAATCCTGAGGATATTTAACGATGTAATGCAACAAATTCATCTGACCGGTCACAAAGCAGACAGCACGATAAAGTTGAGCGAGAAGGGAATTCGTTATCCACTCCATTTGTCCAGGCACCTTAACTTAAAGATACTGTTAATTGCATTCATTGTGCTCCAAACCTAATATTTCTGGCGGACGCGAAATCATTCAATTTGACAGAAGAGAAAATTTTGGTTGCAGCCAACTTAGCAATGAACGCTAAAACAAAACGACGTGCCCAAAGTTATAAAAACAAAGTTCAAGTTTAGACTTCAGACAGCATGCGGTCGATCTGCCTTCGAGGTGCAGCGGCACTGGTTTACACTGTAGATGAGCAATTTAGCTAACGCAGTACGACCGCCGGAAGTCTTAACGTGCAACGACCGAACGCCGGTACGATGCTCATCCAGATCAAAACGGACAGGGGTGGGGATCAAACCCAGGATTCTGGGTTGTGCAGCGCGAGTTTTCCCGCCACGTGCTCCGAGCTGCTGTGTGCTAGACATTTCTGCCAAATCCCCTTAGAAGCACTGGCTGTTTCCATTTGCTGGGCATAAGGGGGGATCGGTGGCCGTGCTACAACTCGGCCACCGACCCTCCCTTAGGCCGAAAGGGAACTGCGTAGCGTGGTGCAGAAACAATAGGAAAACGCGGAAGAGGCCAGGAACAAAGTTCTTTCGGATTCGATGGGACGACAGGTAAGTTACGAGTTTCTTCTGGTTTTGTTTTTACAACATACTGGATGCTCAGCGCACCTGTGAAGACGAATGGGAGAAAAATAAATCGAACTTCATTCCATAGCTGCTAGGAGCTTGATTACTGTCAATAATAGACGCCACTAAAAAACTTCGATCGCACCCTACCCACGGTGTAGTCGTTAGCCAAAGAAAGCATACTTAATTGCGAATTTGTTGTCAAGTGGCGAAATGCATAAAATATTTTCGAATAACGCAAGCAAGGTTACAAGAAAAGCTCGATTATTTGTCTGATGTCTGTTGAAACAACTTGATTCACATAGTATGTCAAAATCTTCTGAGCATAGGCATTGTTTAGATATGAAGGAAAAATTAACATGTGCCCTTTCGTTCACACATATTAAAAACTCAGTACTCCACTGGTTTCCCATGGTCAAAATAACAGTGACTTTGCTACCGCTTTTCTTTCTGTGATCTTCAGCAATAAGTAAAAATAGATATGTGTGTTCATGGGATAACGCCAGCCCTCTCAAGCAATATTAATTCACTCATCAGCCTATGTGGCAATGGAATATACATAACTCCATGGCCAGGCACTTGTATATTTGACCGAAGCGCAACTAGAAGAATAATTAAATACAATATGTCTTGCAAGTCGAAGGCCTGGCTCAAGTATGCTAACAAAGAAAGCCTCCTAAATAAACCGGCTACTAAGTTGCATATGAAGTATCGCATGTGCAGTGACCACTTCTCAACGCGAGACTTCATGGACCTTGCAAAAACGAGACTAACAAGAGCAGCTATGCCTTCTGTTCGCCCTTTGACAAACTGGGAAATCGAGATAGCTGAAGATAATGTTTATTTGACTTATCATGCATGCTAAAGTATTACCAGTATGCTATTCTGTTTGCTGGTGCAAATATAATGCGATTCATACATTCTGCGGCCTCCTCTATATCATGCTCGCCACCCACCTCGGCCGATCAATGATACTTAGCAGTAATACCTCTATTGCTTTGAAACTAGCACCAGCTTTCGGAAGCAACACGTACCCTCTGTCTAACCGGCAAACGTTTGCAGGTCACATGGAGGCGACCACCTCTAGCAGGTCACATGGAGGCCACCACCTCTAGCAGCATTCCCTTGGACTTCTGCCCCGTGACACGTCGTCCATGTGTGCCAGCACTGAACCAGATGAAGCTTGTAAGTGCCTGAGTTACTTTGCCCACACACCTGCCCCTACAACTTTTACAAAGAAGAATCATTTCTGTCCAGGGGTTTAACATATAAAGTATGATGTATATACTTCTCTGCTGTAACACTTTTGAGACAAACATAAATTGCACATTCTGTTAAGATGATGTTGTCACTGTTCAAAAATACTCAATCGAGCCGATATAGGTTTAAATGTTGCAGACATCTCGAACCGGATGGAACACGCGCGTGTTCCATCCGGTTCAAGATGTCTGCAACAAAGGAGTTTATCTGT